GATATGCAAATAATAGTTGTGACTGAGTATAAATTTCAAATTGATCAATTCATTCAACATGTAACATGACCTCTGTGGGTCCCAACAGTACCAGTATGTGGTCTAAGCATGATTTCTAACATGGATCACAACTCAATTACTCTAGCACGTAAAGATTTCATGGTTACAGATAAGATTAGATAACTACACAGTACCATAGAAATAACCGAGTCACAATTCACAAGGTGCACACCCACACGCCCGTCATCTAGCATGTGCATCACCTTAACACCAAACACATATCATGCATATTCAGGGGTTCATACCCTCATCACCAAGTTTAGAAATGTTACTTACCTCGAACAAGCCAAATCCAATACCGAGCAAGCCAAACGATGCTCCAAAAATACCATCCCACACGTACCAACCTCCGAACGACTCAAAACTAGCCAAAAGCAACTAAAATACATCAAATAATGCCTAAGGAAACAATTCCAAATGATAAAGGTTGAATCTTTAATCAAAAATCTAAAGTCAATCAAAAAGTCAAACCCAGGATCACACCTCGGAACTTGAAAAAACTCACAAAATCCGACAACACATTCAATTATAAGTCCAACTATACTAGTTTCACTCAAATCTGACTCCAAATCAATGCTCAAAACTCGAAAATTTACTTTATGAAATTTTAGACAAAACTCCCAAATTTCTCTTTTGAAATCATCAATCAAATGCCAAAAATGAAGATAGATTCATGAAATATAATCGAATAGTGAACACTTAACCCAATCCATGTGGTGAGAATCGCCTCAAAATCGCTTCGATACGATCTCCATAGCTCCAAATATGATAAAATGGTCGAAACCCCCAAAATAGAGTACTTTATAATCATTGCGATCATGGAGTAATACACTGCTTAGAATTACTCTTCACGATCATGGAGTAACCTTCGCTAATGCGAAGAACAACCATCACTGCCTCCCACAAATACCCTATGCGATTGAGTAACTATCTATGCGAACGCGATGACATGCATCTGAACTATGTGATCGCAACACAATCAATGCGAACGCGAAGAAGAAACCAACCTCTCCCCAGCTCAGCCCAAATCACTACGCGAACGCGTGCACACATGTGCGAACACGATGGTCAATCTGCAACAACCTACGCGAATGCATCTGAGGACTCGCAAATGCGATGAACAACTTTTCCCCAGCCATTAAACAACTCTATGCGATCGCGATCGTGAACAAGGAAACCAGATGCTTAGCAGAACCAGCAATGCCAAAATGAAGGAAAATGACTGAATTTGATCTGAGACACACCCGAGCCCCTCGGGCCCACATCCGAACATCCCGACAAGTCCCATACCATAACATAGACTTACTCGAGGCCTCAATCACGCATAACAACATCGAAACGATGAATCGCAACTCGGATCGAACTTAATGATCTTTGAACTTTCAACTTTCAAAACTCGTGCCGAAACATATCAAATCAACTCCGAATGAACTCAAATTTCGTGCACAAGTCCCAAATGATGTAACGAAGCTATTAAAATTCACAGAACCACAATCCAAATCCGATATCCTCAACATCAACTCTCGGTTAAACTTATAAACTTTCCAATTCTTCAAATTTTCAACTTTCGCCAATTAGCGCCGAAACCTTCTAGAAATATCCAAATGCAAATCTGGGCATACGCCGAGCCCAAAATTACCATCCGAACCTAACGGAACCATCAAAACTCCAATCTGAGGTCAAATGTTAAAAAGCCAAACTTGGTCAACTCTTTCAACTCAAAGCTTCAATCATGAAATTAATTCTTCCAAATCTATTCTGAATAACCTGAAAATCAAAACCGACGATTCACACAAGTCATAATTCATCATATGGAGAAACTCGTGCCCTCAAACTATCGAGCAAAGTGAAAATGCTCAAAACAACCGGTCGGATCGTTATACATATACATTACTAGGACTACATAGAGAAAAATAATTAATGAAGATTCACATAACAGATTCTAATAAAAAATGAACATTTAAAATTAGTATTTGGCTATAAAATTTCTAATTTTCACTTGAAGATAAATTTTGGAATTTTTCAAAAATTTGAAAAACTCCAAAAAGCTATTTTTCAAAAATTTCACTCACATCACTCACAAAAATTCAAAAATAATCCAAAATGATATTCATGTCCAAACACACCTTTAATTTTTAAATATCATTTTTACTTGATTTTTTTTTTTACTTTTTTTTTTGAAATTTTACAATTCTTTTGTCCAAACGCCCAAATTTTAGATTTGCTCCTAAATATGTCATTAAAAAAATTATGGAATGGGTACTTGCATAGTGGGAATGCTTTGCCTCTACCCTATACTCTGTTAGTATGGTTCCTCTCGGCGCACGATTAGTGTGAGCAGGTAACCTACACCTCACCAGAAATGTGGAGGGGAAGACCGTGAAAGATTACGAGTAAAGAGCAACAAAATGAAATTGCACAAATGAAAGGATTCAACACTAGAATTAAACACAATACGACTCCAAAAGGGATAGTGATTGGAACAAAGGAGGTCACACCCAACGCAATGGAAGTGATGATGGTGGAATCGTCAACGAATAGAGGCAAAGGCAAGATGGATGAAACCACTGAGGCATGACCAACACTTCCAGCTCGCACACCAGTGAGAAGCATGGATGTACCGGAGAACACAACATAGGAAAAGATACAGACCCAACACACCAACGAAACAGTAATTGCAACCAACAGTGGTGCTCAACGGAAATTACAGCTCGAAAACGGAATTCAGGGGAAGACATGAGGACATGCATGGGCTAATCTGTTTGCAAGAAACAAATTGGCCGCACGAGGTATGGATCTCACATTTATTCCTCCTAAAATCATAGAGGGTGAGAAAATCGTAGAACTATACCAAGATGATGTTGCTACTGGGAATGAAAAATAGAAATCAGTTGTTATTCTATATGTGGTGGGAGGATATCCCACAATTGGAACTATAGATAGGTTCATCAATGCACAGGGGGAATTCTCAACTAAATCTCAGATTTATCTACATAAAGAGGGTTACTTTGTTATGTGATTTTTTAGCAAAGAGGAGAGAGACTGGGTTCTATGCTTAGGACCACACACACTGAATAACATGCCAGTTATTATCAAACCATGGAATCTAGATTTCAATCTTAATGATGAGGTGCTTAAGACCATTCATATATGGATTAAACTGCCAAACCTTCCTCTTAATTGTTGGACTGCTAGTGCACTTAGCAAAATGGGTAGTAGTTTGGGAAAGCCAATTTATGCTGATGATTGTACTACCAGCAATAGCAAAATTTCATTTTCCAGAATTCTTGTTGAGGTTGACATAACCAAAGAACCGCCGGCTACAATCAAAGTTCAGGATCCTAAAGGAAAAATGATCAATCAAGAGGTATGGTATGACTGGAAACCTATATATTGTCCGAATTGTCTGCAAATGGGTCATAACTGCCAGAAGGTTCGCAAAAAACACATAGCACCTCCAAATAAAGGTGCTTAACCAGAACAAAGGCAAGTGCAACTAGGAAAAAACAAATAGCAACAACAAATGGCGGAATGGAAGCCTACATGGGTTGATGGAAATAGAGCTCCAGGGGTGGAACAAGTAACAATCAGCCAACTAAGAAGGCAAAAAATGCACAACCACCAAATATTCTTCCAGATATGAAAGGAGAGGAAGGTTGGATGGAAGTGAAGGGTAGGTCTGCAACTAGAAACACTCAAAGGCAGGGACATGACAAAATGGTAGCTGTGGTACTTGGTCCTACTGTAGTTCTTGATCCAAGCAAGTCTATCAATGAGCGGAAAAATGCTAAACATCCCAAGACATTGCAGTGCAACACAAGTAGAGAGGGAAAAAGTAAAGAATGCAATACATCACATTCCAAAGTACCAGAATTCTAGTCGCTTGGAATGTAAGAGGGTTCAATAAAGTGTATAAGCACAAGGAGATAAAGATGTTTATTAGGGAGAATAAAGTAAGAATTATGGCAATAAGTGAACATAAAGTCTAGAATGATAAAGTTGGAAATCTAATAAATAACTTGTTACCAGGATGGCAATGGTGCACTAATACTGTGAATACAAATCGAGGCAGACTATGGGTGATTTGGGATCCTAACAACATTCAATTCACTATGATAGATACACAATATATACATGGATCAGTTCAACTAGTACACAACAACAAGAGTTTTCTCTTCACTGCAGTCTATGGACTCCATACTGTGTAGAACATAATGGGTTTATGGGAGAGCCTAAGGGACTTGGCTGAACACATGCAAAGACCCTGGCTAGTCATGGGAGATTTTAATGCTATATTAGACTTGGAGGGTAGAATAAATGGGAATGAAGTACATGACAGTGAAGTCAAGGATTTTAGGGGATTCATGGAAGATTGCAAGATGCCTGAATTGCCAATAGTAGGTAAATCATACACATGGACAAATGGGCATATATACAACAGGATTGACATAGGGGTAGTGAATGCTAAATGGTGCTTGAAATGGTTCCTTCACAAGTACAAGTAATGAATCCCTATTTTTCATATCACTCCCCAATTAGCATCACTCTAGAACATGGGAAAAAACCTTTTCCCTTCTATAATTGCTGGGCTAATCATCCAGATTTTGGGAAGCTAATACAAGAAAATTGGCCTGCACAACATGGAGGAATGAAGAGTATATGACAGAACTTGAAGCTAGTAAAAAAGGTACTGAATGCCCTAAATAAAAGGGAGTTCTTGGGGGTCCCAAAAAAGCTACAAAGTTTGAGAGATAGAAATACAACACATTCAAGCACAAATGATAGATGCTACTACCATTGCTAACCTGTTTGAAGCAGCAAGCAACACCAAACAACAATTGGAGAAATGGAGTTTAATTGAAGAAAACATATATAAGCAGAAATCCAGAGTTCAATGACTCAAGCTAGGGGATACGAATACAACTTATTTATATGCTAGTATGAAAGGTAGGAAAACACAAAATCAGATTAGAACTCTAGCAACAGAAGGAGGGACTATACTGAAGACTGCAGACTCTATAGAAGCTGAAATTGTGGGATACTACAAGAGATTACTAGGCTCCAGTACCCAGGAACTTCATGCTATCAATCCTGGAGTTATGCAAGGGGGATCAATGCTAAGTAGAAGTCAACAATTGCAGCTCATAGCACCATTTACTAGAGAAAATGTATCTCAAGCCTTGAATGGGATAGATGATTCAAAAGCCCCAAGTAGAGATGGTTTTAATTCCCGCCTCTTTAAAAAATCTTGGAATGTGCTTGGTGATGAAGTAACAGATGCAGTACTTTAATTCTTTGATACTGGTACAATGTACAAACCAATTAGCAGTACAACAGTTACCCTCATCCCCAAAACCAAAAATCCTGCATCTATTGGAGAATATAGACCAATATCTTGTTGTACTACTTTGTACGAAATCATCTAAAAAAATGATCACAAATAGGATGCAGCATGTTATGGATTCATTGGTGGATTGCAATCAGGCAACCTTTGCACCTGACAGACTACTCTCAGATAATATTTTACTTAGCCATGAATAGGTAAAAGGCTATGGTAGAAGGGGCATATCTCCTAGATATATGGTCAAGATTGACATGCAAAAAGCATATGATTCCATTGAATGGGTGTTCCTGGAACAAGTACTATCAGGCCTTAACTTTCTAGAAAAGTTTGTCAAATGGATCATGAGTTGCATCAGCACAGTTACATACTCCATTATTATCAATGGTAGCCCAACCCCTCCTTTTACTGCTAAGAGAGGGATAAGACAAGGTGACCTTATGTCACCTTTTCTTTTTGTACTGGCAATGGAGTATCTAACAAGGTTACTGAGAACTTTGAAGAGCAAACCAAACTTTAACTATCACCCAATGTGTGAGAAGCTAAGAGTAATTCAACTTAGCTTTGCTGATGATTTGCTCCTATTTTGTAGAGGTGATAAAGTTTCTGTGATGTTGCTAGATAGCTGCTTCTAAAAATTCTCATCTGCATGAGGGCAGATAGCCAATCAAAGCAAAAGCTGTGCCTATTTTGGAGGAGTACCAGAGGGAGTTCAACAGGATATTCTGCAGACTCTTGGATTTAGCAGGGGGAATTTACCATTCAGATATCTTGGGGTACCAATGAGCACAAAGAGATTATGAGTACATTAGTGTCAACCTATACTGGACAAAATGATTGGGAGGATCACTAGCTGGACAGTCAAGTTCCTTTCATATGCTGGAAGATTACAGCTGATTAAAAGTGTATTAACTGCCATTCAATCTTTTTGGTCGCAGATTTTCCCACTCCCAAAGAAAATTATTAAAAGATTGAGACAATATGTAAAAAGTTTCTATGGACAGGAGAAACTGAAGGCAAGAGAAAAGCTTTGATATCATGGGATAAACTATGCTGGCCAAAATCATCAGGGAGTCTGAACATCACAACTTACAAATATGGAACCAGGCTGCAATTGTCAAACACTTGTGGAACTTACACAAGAAAAAGGATAGACTATGGATCCAATGGGTACACACATATTACATACAAAGAAGGCAAGTTTGGTCTGTTAATGCTAAACAAGCCTCATGGCTGATCCAAAAGATTATTCAAGTTGCAAAGTACCTGAATGAGGCCGCCTTGAACATTGAACAGGAGCTTAATACAGAGAAATACTCCATCAGAGATGTCTACAACAAATTGAGAGGAGATTTTCCAAAAATATCTTGGAAAAGGTTGATATGCAATAACATAGAATGTCCAAAATGGCTCTTCATTTTATACCTGGCTATACACAACAGACTTTACACTAGGGACAGACTGATCAAATGTGGTATAAACACCAATCCAGAATGCCCGCTATGTGAAGATGAAGAGGAATGTCATCAACACTTGTTTTTTAAATGCCAATTCTCAGCAAGTGTATGGAAAAAACTATTAACATGGCAGAATATCCATAGAGATGTATAAGGCTGGAATGAGGAACTTGAATGGATCATCATGCATTCTAATGGAAGGAACTCAAGAGGGGTGGTGTACATACTAGTACTTGCTGCTGCCATCTATTATGTGTGGCAGGAAAGGAACTGCAGAGTATTTAACCAGAAGAAAAGGAGAATGGAAGACATCACACGATTGATTGTCCAGGAAGTGCATTACAGGAGTAGTCTAAGACCAAAATTAGCTAGTTTCATGCAAGATCTTAGTGCATATCCATAGCTGCATGCCTGCTTAGAGGCGAATGATAATAGGTTTAGTAGTATCACAGATAGTCCAGAAACAAGGTTGGACCCAACTGTCCAACAAAGAATATGATTATACTTATACATATTTCCCTTAGGTAAATAGTAATATATTTACTTACCAAAAAAGTAGTACTCCCTCCGTTTCAATTTATGTGAACTCATTTGATTGGACACAGAATTTAAGAAAAGAGCGAAGACTTTTAAATTTGTGGTGTAAAATGAGGCACATATATTTTGTGTGACCATAAATCATTGTATAAAGGTAAATTGTTTTCAAATAAGGAAAATGGTAATTCTTTTTGGCACGGAAACGGCGGGAGTACTTCTTTCTCACTTAATAAAAACAAAGCACTTGGTGGTTATTTTAAAAAGTAGCTAATGGAGTACTACTATTTTATATTTTGAAGAACACAGAAGAAAAACAGCTGACTACAGTATGGCAAGCTGGACGTATATATATCTAAAAGCACCGACTCTCTCACCCCACGTGTTCATCTCATGCCAAGTTCCTTGCCCCCCTCCCCCCCCCCAAAACAGCAGGGCCCCACCTGCTTTCCTCTTAACGTCCGTTACCTGCATTCGTACTCATTCACAACGACATTTCCAAAGCTCCAAAAATTTCATCCATAAAATTCCCTCTTCAACTTTCTCATGCTCTGATTCTTCAATACCGCAATGAAGCTGAAACACCCTCCTAGCTCCAGTTCTCAAACCCTAACTTCAACGGCCTCGTCTCACGACGCTACGTTGCTTGTCCGTGAAACTCTCCGGATTAGTGCCGACCTCGCCTCCGCTCCTCCGTCACCGTCGGTTTCCGCTGAGCGGCGGCCGGAAATGGCGAGCTTTGGGCTTAATGATCGGCAATTTGTTGATTCGAGCTTGAGATTGCTCTGCTGTGAGGAGATCGACGGTCGCCGATGGAAGTATTTCGCTGATGAGAGTGTCAATTGTGGCTCTCAGCCGTTAAAGAAGAACGCAATTCGTGCTGTTAGTTTGCAGTCTCCTCAAGCTCCTGTCGAGGTTTGTCGCTTTTGCTTGCTCTTGAATTTCTTTTTAAATATTTTTTAATTTGTACGCTTGTGAAATTAAAACGTTTTGGCGATTTTTGCTTCTCTTTTCTAGGCATTTACTGCATAAGTTACTATTAGTTTCAATTTTCTGGTGAAGAATTTACTCTTATCTAGAAGAATTCAACTAGACAGAGAAATAAGTTGAAGAATTTCCTCATTGACCTAAGAAATCAAGTCGAGAACCTGTGAGTGAGCTAAAAAAGCAAATTGCTATAGCAGAAACATAATTCTGTAAATTGTGTTATGAGCATTTTTTTAAAGTTCTTAAGTGTAGGATTCTGAAATTCCAACATTGTAAGTGTATTTTCAGCAAATGGAAAAGCTTTTCTGTAATGTGAATCGGGAGAACACGGTCTCCTGTTTTATGACTTCCTTGAAGCTACTAAATTACGTGTCTATGAGGAATGCCTGTTAGTATGTTGTAAGATCTCCGTGTGAGTAAGACATTGTGCACAAAGTTTTATGGTTACAATTTTTTGTTGTTGTGTAAGACATTGTGCATGAATCTTAATAGATAAGAAATTCTTTATCAAGAATGTATTTTTCTATATTCCTATCGTACATGTGGCGCAGGAGTTTATGGGGTTCATAAGATCCTACGTTGTTCCAGAAGGTTTTCCTGGCAGCGTTACACCTTCTTATGTACCATACATGACATGGAGGGCACTGAAGGTATGCAACTACAAAATAAAAGCTCTGTCTTGGGTACCATTTAGCTAATGTTTTGTAACAGGCTGCTGTGGTTATTAGCAAATGCCTCTTTTTTTGCCACTTGTAGCACTTTTTTGGTGGCGCAATGGGTGTTTTCACGACGCAAACACTCTTAAATTCAGTAGGAGTTTCCAAGCATAGAGCTACCCCTGGTGCCATAGCCATTAACTGGATTCTCAAGGTACAAATAGAGTCTTCATCATTGTTTCAGCAAGTACCTGATACAAAAAAACTCTTAGCTACATGCTTTTGCTTGATATTTTACCTAAAGTTGGGACTTGATATAAGAATGTGGAAATGATTATGCAAAAAAATTAGAATAGGTTTTGTGAGATTAGGTTGTTGGCTCGGCATTTCAGTCTGCATATCAGATATATGTGTATTTGAAGCTATTTACATGCTAACAAGGTCCAATATTTTCCTAAAGGTCCTAGTAAGTAGTAACATGCATTGTTTTGGTTGCAGGCTTAAAAAAACAAATGTGTTCCTCTCTTTTACCTTTTCATCAAAAAATATAAAAATCAAAAATAAATAAACAAACAAATGTTTTTGCTCTTGGGCGTGAGCTTTTAGATGAGGTGGTTCACACAATTCGATAATGTTGCACGAGCAGGCAAAGGTCTTGGGTTCGAGCCTTAGCATTACCCATCTACAAAAATACTTTCACGTGCTTGACCTTAAAAAGAACCAGGCCTGCACTTGTTAGAGAGTGTTGCATACCTAAAATAAATAAATGTGTCCGTTCTCTAACAATTTAAAGTTAGCTTTTAGATGAGGTGGTTCACACAATTCAACAGCTCTCTTGCACTCTTTCTTCCAGCAACCAACACTCTATTTGAGTAATCCTTTTTACAATCTTATAATTTCATAAGTTTTTCCAATATCTCTATAGTAGGCTGTCTGCACTGTCCCGAGTCGCCATATGAGATGAAACAATATCCAAGAATCCGTGTCATCCAAAAACAAATGTTTCTTTAATTCTATCTGACTGAGAAGCGGGAACACCAATTCAATCATGTGGAATTATTTTCCAGGAAAGCTTCATAACCTGAACCAAATCCATCTTGGAAATTGTGATAGGCCAATGAACTAGGGAAAACACTTAGTTTTAGTTCTAGAGAAGTTTAGAATGTTCAAGATCTTTAGTTTAAGACTGTTCTATCGCTTCTAATTCTCTCAGCCTGGAATTAACCAATATCAGATATATGCTCATCTGTTGTGGAAAGAGTAAGAAACTTGAATAATTTCATTCATATCTTTGAATGTCATATACATGGCTTTATATACAAGAAGAGGTTAGAAACAGAATCATCTAAATCCCATAAAATCTGGGATTATACAGAATAAAATAAAAAAAGAATCAGAATTTGATATTCTAGATTACAACAATTATCTCTAAAATCTTGGAGGATCAGATTTTGATATGGAGAATATCTTCCTGGAAATCCTCTATCATTCAACACTCCCCCTCAAGCTGGTGAATGGATATCTTCTATTCCTAGCTTGCTTATCAGGTCTTGAAACATATTGTTTGGCAGTCCTTTTGTTAAAACATCGGCCAACTGATCTTTTGTAGATACAAATGGCGTACAGATGAGTCCACTATCTAATTTCTCCTTAATGAAGTGTCTATCTACCTCAATATGCTTAGTGCGATCATGTTGTACAGGATTATGAGCTATACTTATTGCTGATTTATTGTCACAATATAGTCTCATAGGTCCTTCCCATCTTATCTTCAAATCATCAAGGATTATCTTTAACCATAACAACTCACAAACTACCATCGCCATAGATCTGAACTCGGATTTTGCACTTGATCTGGCCACAATATTCTGTTTTTCACTTCTCCAAGTCAGAAGATTTCCTCCTTAAAAAAGTACAGTATCCAGAAGTTGACCTTCGATCCACTAATGAACCAGCATAATCCGCATCAGTATAAGCCTCTAAAACCATGTCTCCTCCTCTTCTGAATAGTATTCCTTTCCCGGGACTTCCTTTAAGATATTGTAGAATCCTGTTGGCCGCTTGGAGATGCATTTCTCTAGGGTCTTGCATAAATTGGCTAACGACACTTACAGCAAAGGCAATGTCTGGCCTTGTGTGGGACAAGTAGATCAATTTCCCTACAAGCCTTTGATACGAGCCTTTATCTACCACAGAATCTTCTGGAGCATTACACAACCCATGATTATATTCAATTGGTGTGGCCACTGGTTTACACCCTAATTTCCCTGTTTCTTTTAGCAAATCAAGCACATATTTTTGTTGGGAAATAAAGATTCCTTGTTTAGAATGTGCTACTTCAATTCCCAAAAAATACTTTAAGTTTCCAAGATCTTTGATATCAAATTCCTTGAGTAAACAATTCTTCAAATTGTGTATCTCCTCTGAATCATTACCTGTTACTATGATATCATTTACATAGACTAGTAGAGCAGTTACCTTTCCTGTTTTTGAGTGCCTTATGAACAAGGTGTGGTCTCCTTGACTCTGCCGATAGCCTAGCTTGATCATAACCTTTGTAAATCTCCCAAACCATGCACGGGGTGATTGCTTTAGTCCGTAGAGTGTCTTCTTCAGTCTACATACCATTCCCTTCTTGCTTTCAAACCAGGTGGTACCTTCATATAGATCTCCTTATCTAAATCTCCATGTAGAAAAGCATTTTTAACATCAAATTGCTGTAGGTTCCAATTAAAAATCGCAGCCAATGAAAATAAGATCCTCACTGTGTTCATTTTTGCCACTGGGGCAAAAGTCTCCAAATAATCAATTCCATAGGTCTGTGTGTAACCCTTTGCTACGAAACGTGCTTTAAATCTTTCTATAGACCCATCTGACTTGTATTTCACGGTAAACACCCATCTACACCCTACCGACTTTTTTCCTTTTGGTAATTCCACTATTTCCCAAGTTTTATTCTTCTGCAATGCTTCTATTTCCACCTTCATACCTTCTTCCCACTCTTTGTTACCTAATGCTTCAGACAAATTTTTTGGAACAGGAATTGTGTGGAGGTTACTGATAAAAGCTTTATGGTTTGGGGATAGGATTTGATATGTCAAGGAAAGACACAAAGTGTGTTGTGTGTAGGTTCTGGTTCCTTTTCTAAGTGCAATGGGAAGGTCAAAGTCGTTTGGTTGGTTATGTTCTTCTTCATGATCAGTTTGGTTTGGTGTTTCTGATGGTTCAACAGGTTCAGGATAGGTATTAGGGGCAGTAACATGAGGAGATAATTGTGATTTAGTAGTTTGATCAGCTAGCCTCTTTCTTCTGGAATAAACCTGCAATGGTGGATTACTTTCTTGAATTCCTTTATCCATATCAAGCTTAGAAGACTCAATATGTTCATTAGGATTTAGAGACTCAGATGAGTGAAGAGATGGTGACTCAGGCAAGGACACAGATAAGGATTTATCATGGCTAGGAATAGACAAATCAAGTAGTGATAAGTCTAGAGATCCTTTTCCATCAAATGACTCCCCCTGAATGTAAGAATTTTTAAAAAATGGCTCACTTTCATCAAATGTGACATCTGCTGAAACAAAAAACTTCTTGGTTGATGGTTGGTAACACTTATATCCTTTTTGAGTAGGAGAATATCCAATGAAAACACACTTAAGAGCGCGTGGTTCTAATTTGCCTCTATTCTGAGAATGAATGTGAACATAGGCAATACTCCCAAAGATTCTAGGAATCAATTTGCTGGAATTTTCGAAATTCGGGAAGAAGCTCCTAAGAGTATCAAGTGGGCTCTTAAAATTCAGAATTCTTGATGGTATTCTGTTACTAAGATATGCAGCAGTTAGCACAACTTCCCCCTAATACTGATTTGGAACCCTTTTGTGAAACAATAGTGATGTAGTAATGTCAAGTAACAAACCGTTTCTTCTCTCCGTTATCCCATTTTGTTGAGGAGTATTGACACATGAAGATTCGTGAATAATTCCCTCCTTTTTGAAGAAAACAGAGAGGTTTTGATTGAAGTAATCCTTGGCATTATCAGAACGGAATCTTTTAATTGTTACATCAAATTGGGTTTTAACCAGATTTAAAAAGGTAGGAAGAACATGGCTGACATCTGATTTTTGCTTAACAAATAGATCCATGTTACTCTTGTACAATCATCAATGAATGACACAAACCATCTAGCACTGGAAATATTAGGAATGGAAGAGGGTCCTCATACATCACTATGAATAAGAGAAAATGAAGTCTGACATCTTTTGTTGCTTATTGGAAAGGAAACACGTTTATGTTTTGCAATTTCACAATCTTCACAATGAAAAGACTCAACAACCAAATCTTTGAATAAAGATGGAAACATTAGCTTGATTACATAAAAAGAAGGATGACCTAAGCGACGATGATAGGGCCAAACTCTCTCTTTATTGGACATAACAGATTCATACAAGAATGAACTAGATAAGGAATTCTTAATTGTATCTCCACCATTGTGAAAATCCAGAAAATAAAGACCACTTTTCTCACTAGCACGCCTAATCATCTCCTTCGTGTCCTGTTTCTGAAATGCACAATATGAAGAGAAAAAGGTTACTTTGCATTTGGAATCTTTGGTGACTTTGTGGACAGAAATGAGATTTGCAAATAACTTTGGGACATGAAGAACATTCTTAAGTATCAAAGACTTTCCCAGTTGTATGTCTCCTTGGCCAGCTACAGTAATAACTGAACCATCGGCTATATTTATTTTTTTATAGCTAGGGCAAGGTGAATATGATATAAAGAGATGGGAGAAACAAGTCATATGATCAGTTGCCCTGGAATCAACCACCCACATTGGAGAAAATTTGTCTCTAACATTAGCAACAAAAGTGGAAGAAATACCTGCAAAGGCCATTGAACAACTACCTGCTGAAGATGATATCTCCCGAGATTCCAGCAATGTCTTCAATTTCTCAATATCTTCTTTGTTGAATTCTGGGACTAATGGACTTTTTTCATCAATCTGAGGGCTGCTAGCAATGTGTGTCTGCTTTCCATCAAAAGTATTTTTGGTTGGAGGTTTACCATTGAGTTTCCTACATCTTTCTCGTGTGCCGGTACTTTTTGCAATAAGTGCAGTAAAGATTGTCCCTGTTGACAAGCGGTTTGAATGAACTTGCGGGCTTGACGGTGCTCTCCAATTGTGAAACTCCAGACTCCTTTTTATTTGTCCCTTTTGTCATAAGAGTTGATCCTTCATTTATTTGAGTTTCAAGCATAACACTCCTCCGTCCTTCCTCTGTTCGTATAATGGCCATTGTCTCATTCAATGATGGCAGATCTTCTTTCCCTAAAATTTGCACTCATACAACATTAAACTCTGCATTTAGCCCTGCAAGAAAATCAGAAATCCTTTCTTTTTCAATAAATCTTTTCAAAATTACAGCATCGTCTGTGCAACGCATTTGAATGCATTGATAGTGATCCATCTCTTGTCATAACCCTTGTAAAAGATTAGAATATTTAGTGATAGATCGAGCTCCCTGTTTTGTTGCTGATAATTTTGTTTTTATTTCATAGATCAGCATCATGAACTTTAGAGTATGTCTCCTTCACTGCATCCCAAATTTCCTTAGCAGTATTCAGAAACATAACGGTATCACTAATTTGTGGAAGCATGGAGTTCCATAACCATGTCATCACCATTGAATCATGTTCATCCCATGCATCAAACTTGGGGTCTTCTTTGGATGGTCCTATACCGAGGAGATGTCCTAATTTCCCTTTACCTTTTAGAAAGGTACGAACAAGCTGAGACCATTTTAGATAATTTTTCCCATTCAACCGATAAGAGGCGTGAATATTTTGTAAATCTCCAGTTGAAACTGTAGAGCTATGCGCTACAGTGGCAGAAACATTTTCAGAGACCGGAGTATTCGCAATAGTACTCTTTTCTGACATGGTTTTCAAATGATTTCAACCCTTGGGCGGATAAAGAGGACAAATGTGATGAAAAGATGGATGAATGAAAAAAAAATCAGTCAGTAATAAGAGGCTCTGATACCATGTGGAAAGAGTAAGAAACTTGAATAATTTCATTCATATCTTTGAATGTCATATACTACATGGCTTTATATACAAGAAGAGGTTAGAAACAGAATCATCTAAATCCCATAAAATCTGGGATTATACAGAATAAAATAAAAAAAGAATCAGAATTTGATATTCTGGATTACAACAATTATCTCTAAAATCTTGGAGGATCAGATTTTGATATGGAGAATATCTTCCCGGAAATCCTCTATCATTCAACATATGTACTATGTGTATTTTATGACATTCTGAGAGCTCAAAATGGAACTTTAGAAACAGCTCCTTTCATGTTCCATGAGTACAAACCGGAAGGAATTTGCAATTTGCAGGATGGTGCTGGCCGTGTAGGGAAGATGCTTTATGCACGACAGGGAAAGAAATTTGATTATGATCTAAAACAGGTATTCTCCATTGTTTCCTCTCTAATTTTCTTTTGGTTTGTATTGCATTTTTCTGTTGTTTATATTTTGTTTTCTTGGTTTGGGCTGTGGTAGGTAAGGATTGAAATCTAATTAATGGCTTCAACTTGTGATTTTTGTTGGCCTAGTTCATTTTTCCTTACAATTCTTGTTTCCTTATGATGCCCATCAGCTAAGGTTCGCGGGTGATCTTTTGATGGAGTTGGGAGCTGGTGTTGAACTGGTAACTGCTGTTGTGCCGCAGTTTTTTCTTCCTTTAGCCTGTGCAGCGAATGTCGCCAAGGTTTGTCGCCTTCTTCTTTTCCTTATTTATTCATGTTGCATGCACAAACAGTTAGCTAAGAACTTAAGATTTATTTTGAATTGCTTACAGAATGTAGGTGCTGTCACTTCTACTTCAACTCGTACTCCTATATATAAGGCCTTCGCTAAAGGGGAAAACATTGGGGATGTAACTGCTAAGGGGGAATGCGTTGGCAATCTTGCTGATTTGGTATGCTTTTCTAATCTTTCTTTCTTTCTTTTCGCTTTTCCTGGTGATGAAGATATTGATCTGATCTTAACAAGTATTCTGAATTTGGAAGTATGCAGAATTCTGATTTCAATTGCATGGCCTCTTGAGACCACTTTTCAAAAAAAAAATAAAAATGTATCCTGGTCTGGTCGTGGTAGTATATTATAGATTGCATTATTGTCTCAAATGCCATTTCCACAAGAAGTCTATTATTTCCTTCTTTTGAAAGGGATAAGTGGCAGAAGAAGAAGTCACTGTACTTTATGGTAATTGTTGCAGGTTTCTTAAAGTGATGTTGTTGGGTAACTACTCATTTGCTCGCTAACTTTTCACTCAATTCTTTTCCCTTATGAGGGGTTTTGGTAGAATAGAAACTGAAACAAAGGCCATATTCTATGATGGCAGTTAAGTTTTACGTTGTAGGGAGGCTGCAGTCGACTTTGTGATCTGCTATTATGTTGTATCTTCATATTGTTTCAAAGAATTTCGCTGGAGCTAATGTTACCATTTTCAAAAGAAAATTTTTTCTGGAGCTATTCACTTGCTTATCTTTTTTTGAGAAGGAAAAAAAAGAGGCAAGTGAATAGCTCCAGCAAACTGCACATCTTCAAGGGGGAGAACCTTCTGGAATGGGTATTTTAATAACTTTTCTAGTTTCTCTAAGATCAATTTCATCATTAAGTTAGGAGTTTTCTCTAAGATCAATTTTATCATTAAGTTAGGAGTTTTAGTCTAATGAGGTGGTAAAACTGTTTGAAACCATTGAGTAACTGGTGTAAAAGTACCTGGAATTATTAATTGGAAGATGAGAACATGAGTTGTTATCTTCAGATATCAAAAATAACGGTTAGACTTCTTTCTCAATCCATGTGTTCAATAAAATCTCATCGTCTGGGCCTTGATTATTCACAATTCTGAAGCTAAAATATTATTCACATCGAAACGCTAATTTTACTGTCTTTTCATTTCATAAGGTGCACTCCTCTTCGCAACATATCAATTAATGGTAATGAGAATATATAAGAATTCTTACTCTGCTATTACTGCTCCACTGTCTCTTTTCATTTTCTTGAGCCGATGGTCTATCGAAAACAGCCTCTCTACTCCCCCAGAGTAGGGGTAAGGTCTGCGTACACACTACCCTCCCAGACTCCACTTGTGGTATTCCACTGGGTTGTTGTTGTTGTTGTTGTTGAGAATATATAAGAGTTCTCTATATTAAAAAGGGGAAGAAAGAAAAAGAATCTACAAGAGTGAAACAAGAATTATGAGCAGAAAACTATTAAAGAAGCAAAAGAATAATTACAAAGGCCGCAAGTTTGACGATCCTTAAAATGTTGCCTTTTTTCTTTCAGGGGAATTGAAGGGCTTATTTCCTACTTGACAAGGAGTTTATATTTATTTGTTTAGTGGTTTCTGCCATGTATCTGACTACTAATGTACTTGAGCTAGAATAACTTATGTTAATTTTTTCTTATGAAGCTTGGGACAGGGTTAAGTATCATGATTGCCAAAAGGAATCCATCCTTGGTCAAGACATTTGCCCTCCTCTCATTTGGATATGTCTTCAGCTCTTATCAAGAGGTTAAGAGTGTGCATTAATTTCTAATTCACTGCACTTCTTAGCATACTAGTCTGATTTCTTTCCTTATTCTTTTTCCCATTTGACTGACATATCTTGTTGCTTTTGTATATCTTAGGTGAAATCTGTTGTGCTGCATACCCTGAACCGTGCAAGATTTACAGTAGCAGTAGAATCTTTCCTAAGGACAGGTTAGGAATAGTCTTTCCCTCTTCCTCCTTCCCTCCACTTTTTCTGTTATGATTGAGTCTCTTTCATACCATGATTTTGTACGATTACGATGCTTGCTCCGAATGGAAGAGAGACGGCTTTCCTTTCGGATGTTGCAAACGCACAAACGAAACACCTTAGTAAGCGGAAGAGGTCACTCTCAATCCGATATTGTTAACTGACTGTCAGCACAACTGAATGATTCAGCTTACAAATTTGTGGTAAAACTAGGACATGCCAACATTTTCTTTAACTCAACTGTAGCAAAGTTATGTGCTTTTTGTCCTCTTGTACCTTTTCTTCTCCATTTTAGTTTCTCATAGAGTTATTTGGAATTATCTGAAGTTAAGAAAAACTTATTAGGAGTGAAGCGGAGAAGGAAAGGTAAGATAAGTTAACAGTCATTAATCTTTTTCTCTGAGTTGATGTCTTTCCTGCTACTTGCTCTTCAGGAAGAGTTCCAACCCTGCAGGATGGAAATTCAAGGGAAAACATATTCAGCTTTCCATGGAAAAAGCACAGACCTATTGTTCTTGGTAATTACAAGGAAAATACACTTTGTTTCGTTTGTCATCTGAACATAACATCATCAGACATATTCATTGCAGATTTTAACTAACTGCTTGCAGGACCAAGATTTAGAGAAGCTTTCCAAGATCCAAACTCATATCTTGCTGTCAAGCCCATCTTTGAGGTATGTTTTCAAGGGAGGATGAATGTCAAGGGGAGCTCTCCTGCACATGGCACACTTACATCCCCTTGCTTTCTTGTTATGCTGCTAAATGTTTCTTCTACTATTTTCTCGTATTCATGCTTGTAATTGCATGTCGATCTTGATTAACAGAAGGAGCAATATATAGTGTCATACAATCCTTTCAAGGGAAATATATATGTGTTGCTCAAGGATCAAGCTAAGTCTGATGATGTGCTGAAAGCAGCATTTCATGTAAGACATCTGACTTACCCGTCTGATGAACATGAAACTCTTAAAAACTGACATTTACCTCATTAACTTTAAAATACAGGGCCATGTGCTTCTGCACATCATTCGTTCATCGACCGACAAACAGTCTTCCTCCAGGAAACAGCGGGAAGATGAACTTTCAGCATCCTTGCTATCAACTGCTGATCTTCAAGCTCATGTTATAGAATCTTATAAGATGGTCTCTGCTTTATATATGCCTTTCAAGAGCAAAGCTAAAGAACAGGTGAAGCGAAATTTGCCGCTTAATGTTATAGAATCTTATAAGATGGTCTCAGCTTTATATATGCCTTTCAAGAGCAAAGCTAAAGAACAGGTGAAGCGAAATTTGCCGCTTAATGTTATAGAATCTTATAAGATGGTCTCAGCTTTATATATGCCTTTCAAGAGCAAAGCTAAAGAACAGGTGAAGCGAAATTTGCCGCTTAATGATACTATTTCTGATAGATCTTTTTTCTTTCTAAATTTTAAACAAGCTAAAACATAGAGATGATATGTTACTGTCTGAGTGCAAGTGAGCCTTCTGTTTGTTATTACCTATAATCACATATTACAGTTGGAAAAAAAAAATCACGTGCAAAGCTGAGGATTATCAGGAAGGCTAAAATGAAAGAGACCAGAATTTCTAAGTCTTCAATCTCATCCCTGTAATTCCTGCTCCTCCACCTTCCCTGAATAAGAAAAGGAAAACAGAGTTAAGGAAATAAGAGCTGGAATATAATTGCGCGTTTATGGTTTTACAACCATGTTCATCACGACTGACAATTAGGATTTGTTTCTTTGGTATTGCTGCAAGTGAACTTTTTTCTTAAGAAGCCAGATGACAATGTTTTGCCTTGTCTGAAGTTGTTAGTGTCTTGAAAAGGATAGGGGCTGGGTCCATAAATCAACTTCCCTCCATCATGATTGAACTGGTTTCTTGAGGGTGGGTGGGTNAGGGACATATGAATTACCTTATTTCTCTTCAAGTGTGCCTTGGTTTCAATTAACGGATTGCTATTTGTCTACTCTGGCGTGTTCATCATGTATTTTTCGTTTTCGATCAGCCATCTGCTTGTTGCTGCTCTAAAAGTGCAACAATATCTAACAGTGAAAGAAGAAAGCTTAAAGAAAGAACGTTGGGCTGCTATTTTTTTTCTTATGTGGAGGTTATCCAGATTCACCATAAATTGCTAGTGTCAAATCGCTATGGTCCTAGAGTGATTGCCAAGGCACCATGCAAACGTGCTTTCCTCTGGAAGGCCCTGACATGGATTCATGAGCTCTGTTTCACTTTTATCGCTTGCCCCCTGAAAATTTTATACTCCTAACCTTTATGACTTATGTTAAAATGCTTCTCATTCTAGAATCCACATAATTAGGACGTGTAGCAATCTCTTAGCCTCAGTTCCCTTTGAATTACTCTTTTTGTGGAAGTGGAAGATTCCTGTAAAAGGATTTACATCTAGCCTTGTAAAAGGATTTAAAATGGATTCTCTTGTAATTGGTTATATCTGTGAATTGCCTCCATAACATTCATAGTGGTTGATTCCAACTTATAAGATGTGAGTGCCATTCAGTATTAAATGCAATTACAAATAAAATCACTCCAATAGTTGTAGTGTTTTTCTTATAATCTCCTTGCGCATCCATTCTGTTTTTCGTTACCTTGAAGGCTTGAACTCCTTCAAATGGTGCTACTAGCTGTATTCGTTCACAGTGTTATCAAGCTTAAGCCTAAAGCGAGGCTCAAAACATGTTGAGTGCTTCGCCTCGCTTATCGAGCACTTCAGCGGTGTCATCAAGGCTCTAAGGCATACTTTTCCTTGCCAATGAGCGTAGTCCTAAAGAGGCGACACTAAGCAATTAATATTATACTTTATCGTAAATTTTCTTCAATTTCGTTGTCCTTATGTATGGTATTCATGCTTATTGATATTAGTCTTGGACTACACATACATATTTGTAGTCTTTCTCCATTTGCGCCTTTCTTCATTAAAGTCCATGCTTTATTTGCGCTTAAAGGCCTAATAGACCTTAGAGTTTTTTTGCACTTTTTGCCTTTGATAACACTGTTTGTCCAGCTGGCTGGATTAATTCAAACTTCAAAGAGGTCGTAAGGAGTTATCTTACATGAAGGAATTAGTGGAAAAACTGTACACTGTCTAACTCATGATCATTCCCTCTTTCCAGAAGGGTGAGGTCTGTTGGCTACCAACAAATTAACCCCGTTGGATTGTGATTATCTTTTTGGGTGAATGTTTTAATATTCATATTGCAGAATATTATTGGAATAAACACAGTGGGCCTGGCAATGGTGGATTTGTTGTTTGTCTTCCTTACCAGTTTAATTATCATGACTAGCAGGAGGCTGCTTCTTTTATTTAATTATGCAGGTTAGTGAGCATTTTACATTCTTGCAGGGCTGGGTGATGTCGGAATCACTACTTAATCCTGGCCGAGCTCGACTTTGTGAAATGGTCAAATAGGATACATAACTGTTGGAGTTGGTTGCAGAGGAGCTAAAATTGTTTTCTCTTGTCACAACTATTTTGCATGACCACTGATGGCACTGCAAGGCATTTGTGCATCTAGGGGAATTTGCTACATGGCGGCAAATGGGGTTGGATATTTGAAGTAATTGCCAGATGTTTATCTTGATGCCGTGTAGACGCAATTTGCTACACGTGCTTGCTATTTTGTAGCACGACAGTTTACCTGTACATCAGCAGCTCGTGATTGGCGTAAGCAAGAAAATACACTTGGTGAAAGAGATTTCAGTAGATTTGTTTATTCCACCAAAAAACATTTCTTTGATATTCTTCTTTGCATATAAATTTTCATTTTAATACTATTTGGTAATGCATACAAGGGTTTAATATTTTTGGGGGTTGG